GACGATACAGCTCTTCCACTCCGCTACTCCGCCACTAATATTCGAATATACAATAGCAATCTTTTTTTCTCACGTGTAGTATAGAAATTTGTAATAAGATACGTAATGCGGTTATAATAAAATATTGTGCGATTATTTTTATATAATTAAAATTAATATGTATTTATTAAATACATTTATTTATTTTTTAGAAAATACAAGGGAACGGCGCATCCACCGCTTCTAATGACGGCACGCTACTGGGGGGTAGTGGTTTGCTGGACGCAAAGAGACTCACACAGAGACCGTACTTACAAATTTAATGCGTTTATTTAGATAAAAACATGCTTACAATAGAAACACTGGTCTGTCCTTCGAAAAGATATCGTACCAATCGATGGAGAGTCCTTCCCGGCGGCACGTGAGTCACGCCGGGAAGGACTCTCCATCGATTGGTACGATATCTTTTCGAAGGACAGACCAGTGTTTCTATTGTAAGCATGTTTTTATCTAAATAAACGCATTAAATTTGTAAGTACGGTCTCTGTGTGAGTCTCTTTGCATCCAGCAAACCACTACCCCCCAGTACGTTGTGTGACTCAGACGGAAAAGTACCTTTTCCGTCGTGAGTCACACAACGGAAAAGGTTCTTTTGCGTAGTTCGTAGAGGGTTTTCCTTTTCGGCGGCTGGAGGAGGAAGTGGGCCACGTAGCACAAGAACCACGGCGTTCACAATGTTTCGGTGAAAGTTGATTCCTTAATTCGGATCGTGGAGAATTCTACGATGGGAAGTTCGGTCCTTAAACTCTTCTGCCGTACTTAGTTCATTAGCCTTTGCTCCTATAGTCTCGAGCTGAGTCGACCGGACTGTTTGCTCCCAACCTCCTGTTTCTCCTTGGGATTTCGGCATTTATAACCTTTTTCTTACCGAAATCCCGAGATTTTGGTTGGTCCGAATGCTGGTCCCCTTGATTCTATTGGTTCCTGGTCTGTTGCCAGGGACGCGATTCGGGCCGCGGGGTCGCCGAATACCCTTTCCCGGATGACGGACCCGTAAATTTTACCTAATGTCTTTTTCTGTCCCGGAGAAGACGCAGCTGTCCCAGCCGCCGCCCCCTCTACAGGAGTGTCAGCAGATCCCGCTTTGAACTCTCTGTAAGGTGATCGTCCAAAGTTACCCCGGTGGACGATCCCTCTCTCGTTCTCACGATTGATGATCGCGAATCTGTCAATTAGGTTTGGAATGCGGCAATTATATCGTCTCGCATCCCGTTCCTTGGTCACACCGGTCCTATTTACGTAATAAGTCACCGATATATTGACTTTAGCTCGACAGCCGGTTCCCGTCCGGGGGGGGGTGTTGTCCCGGCCTCACATTAAGGACTGAATTGAAACTGGCAACGAACGTAAAATATTCTTGTGTTTAGTAACAAACGGTCTTATCGATAATTAGTTATAAGAGGAAACTCAATTTACTTTATTTTAATTTTAATTACTGTCACGCAAGCAATTTTTTAAGTAATTTCTCATATTGCAGTTTTGAAACAGTTTTTTACAATGATTCGTACTTAAAAGCATTCCTTATATATGGCTCCGTAATAAACAATGAGAAAAGTGATGTCATTTGATATATAATAATAAATTTCTAACATTACAAAAGACTTACGTCGATTATTATTTAAATCTCTGGAGTTCCTTGTAATGTCAAACTTCATCTATTTCTTTACTGAAGTTGATCGATCACAAATGACATCCATTGCCAAGACGTTTGACCTTTAATCTGCCGGCGAATGTATGAATTATTTATGGCTTTCACCACCAAATATTTATTATACAAATAGTTCAAACAATAAACAGTATTTTCCTAACTCAATTAGTTTATTTTGGATGATAATTTATGAACAGTTAGCGTGTTAGATAAGAACCAACTTCATTGAAAATAGTTAAGAATATTTCTTTAAAATGTCATTTATAAACTGTTTCAAACGCTGTTATAAAATACTTTATTTAAAATTTTACCAAGTAAATTTTAACGTAACATTTCTAAAATGTGTAAAGGTAAACACGACGAATTACTATTTCACAACAGCAATTTCATTGTGATTAAGATTAACGTAGATAAGATCTATATCTAGAGATACTGGTTAGTTAAAAAAGTATTCGCGATAAAATCCTTCCAAAAATATTTTTTTATGAGTTGTCAAATATTTAATAATTAACTTAAAAATTCAAATATTTTAAGTCACATTTACTCAAATTTATCACTATGTAGTTGTGATATCATAACATTAATTTAAAAGTCAATTTAAATTAATTGACTTTTAAATTAATGTTATGATTTAACATTAATTTAATNAGCATCTATTGATATATCTCCTTTTTTTTTTCGTAAGCTTTTCTCGTTCGTGTCACCTTGATATTTTAATACCTTAAATAATTAGTTCAAAGACTTTTTATTCGACATTTTAATTTATCGTTCAACGTAATGAAATAATTATTTCATTACGTACGTTTCGTTTTAGTTATATTTTTGAATTAAACATAAAAAGTGATATAATTAACATTTTAATTAATTTTATGTCATTTTTATTACTCTTCATTTACTTTGCAACTTATTATTCGATATTTTTAATGTACAACTAAAATAAATTAAAAGTATTTCCCAAACTTTTCGAACTACCGCCTCCATTTAGTGAATATAACTCTTATTTTGGAGGTCACTGATTTAAATCAACCTAATCTTCTTAACATATGGGAAATTCGCGTGTCTACTCGTTTCCTGTTAAAGTTTCTTAAAATAACTGTTTCTAATTCTTTGGAAAACATTGCTTTTATTAATTTAAATATATATAAGGTATACTTAATTCGTTTGTTTGTATTAATTCGATAGGCTGAGTTATGAGAGAAATTGAGATGATTGCCGTTCCTATATTCGAATTTCTCTTACATAAAATTAAAAAAAAAACTTTTTATTATTTTAAAATTATCCTTATAGTAAAAATTTCATATTTACATCATCATCTTGTGTTCTAACTGCTGTAATTTCGTTCAAACTCATACAATTTCGTATTCGTCTAACAACACTAACCTATCCGTATGATTGGTAATATTATAAAATTTTGTCTAGTCATCAACAAAATGATTCTAAATTATTTTAGTTGATCTCTTGTAACGAGTTCTTTCAACTTATTAAATTCTTCAATTTTCATGCCTCTTATCCTTCTTGAAAATAATTCCTTAGTTCAAAACGTGAAGTCTCTCTGTGTATTATAGTTATTGGCTTCCTCCTCTGACTCATCAACAAGTTATTAACTTATTTCGTGTGGAAACAGTCTTAAAAGGTGAAGTACCTAAATATTCCTTATTAATATTCGCTCTATGGTCTTAAAAATGATCAGATAGAAATTTTGATGAATAACTTCAGAATTCGATGAAAAATAATGATCAGCGAAGATAATAGTGATCTTCAAGCGTTGCAGATGAAAACTTTGATAAAGAATGCTTAATTTGAGCGACTAAATTATCAACATCAAATAGGATTTAAGTATATGCAGGGTTCTTACACTTGGAAAGTCAGGGGAAGTTAGGAATTTTCATTTGTGTTCGGAAAAAGTCAGGGAATTTGCCTCCTTGGCTGCTTTGTTGAGTTTTTGCTGAAAGTATGCTTGACTAAATGTACTGTGTAGCCGTCTGCAGGCAGAAAAAAGTAATCAGGTGAAATACAATTTGTGAAAAAGATGCAGAATATTTTCAGGATCCAAAATTTCTCTTATGCATACACAAAATTTCCCCAAACTTTTACAAAGGAAAAAAAAAATGATAAATAATTTTATCATTTTTTTTAATGCTATTATTTTACATTTTTCATTTTAATAATTTTCATTTTTTTCCATTTTATTAATATTTTATAAAGTTCAGGAAATTTATTAAGGAATAAATTTAATAAATATATACTTTTGTACCTGTATTATACAGTATTTGTTAATGAACAGTAAATAAATAATGGTTCAAAGCCACGTAGATTTATGGTTATGGATTAATAACAGAATAAACTATTTCAATTTAATAAAACATTTTATTTTTAGTTTTAATAATTTGGCAATTAGAAAAAAAATAACTAATTAAAAAATTGGAGAAGCAATAGCGTATGTGTATAGTAAGTTAAATGCTATTTTATTTTGTCAATGTGCCATGCTGTAAGGGACGTTGAAAGTCAGGGTTAAACAGAGAATTTAAAAGAAAAATATGAGTAGGAACTCTGTATATATGTCATCTCTCGAATTAGGTAACATAAATAGACCAATTAATTCCGAGAATTGAGGAGAGGAGGAGATTATTTTCCAGTAGGATCTTGGTTCCAGGAGGGATTTTAACGGTAAAGAAACTCAAGAAAGTTTATTAATTAATTATTTTCTAGCTTAAATTTTATAAAAATAATTAACTAATCGCTCTAAAATATCCAGGATATTGAAATAAATTAAGAAACCGAATGAAATTTAGGTAAAATGACACTTGTATGACAAAATTTCAACTAAAATTCACAAGGTCGAAAAAATAAAATATTAATATCTTTAGGATTCGTGATGTAACATCTCGTATAGTCAATGATGAAAAACTTTTAAAAAAATATCATTTACTCTTTCGATTATATTAGTTGCTAAGGTAAATCGGATTGAAAAGCTCGATAAGCAAATTTACATACAATGGAAACATTAAGATTCAATTTTAAATAATAAAAAAATAAAAATAAAACGAAGAAATTCAGAAATTAACTCAAAAATGATTAATTATTAATAAGAATTATTAAAATCATAATAAATATTTTCATTTGGTTTATCAAAATGAGTTTTTCTACTTCTAAATTGGTCCTTGATTGTTAGCGAATTGTGCTAACGAGAAATTATCTTAGGAGGAAACCTTGAATTTTTCTACTTTTGATTGGTTGAATTTATCTTATCTTTAACAGTTTCATAAGAAAAGTCTACGTGTTCAGACTTCTCACTCATTTGAAAAGTCGTTAAACACTTTTACTATATTCTTCGAGATAATGTAAGTAATCTTGAGTATAAAACGTTTTTCTTAGCTAAAATGCCTTGATAAAACTGTTATTGATAATCTACGATTAAGGAAATCTAACAAAAAATATGCTAATTATATTAAAATCTCTACTTTAGTCTGGTGCATTTTTATAGCATTCCAATTAGTTATCTGGAATAAATCACGTTTTATATTAGATGCTCTTGTCGAAAATTAGGTTAAGATCTAGAATATAATAATATATTTTATGCTATATCTAATAATGAAATATACTTTTGATAAGATCATTTTAATATTGGCATTTTTCCTCTATGCAGTTTATAAAGTGTACACGCACTTAGTATATATTAGAATAATGAGAGCATGAGTCACTATGCATACTTAATATGTCACGTTTAGATATTAAAAATAACTTAAATTAATTTATTTAAACTAATTTCATTGATTTAATAACACAACTTACATTTTAATAAGTCATTTATTAGATTTAGAACTGTTTTAGAGAAGGGTAGGAAGGACAAGGATGCAGTTACTATGGTAACTAATCTGGAATCTCTGCTTCTTAGGTACTGTGCTTATAGCAGCAGCTATACATGTGTTTTGATAATTTTATATAGCTTGGGGCATTAATCAATACAAAAATAAATATGAATCTACGCATAGAGAGAAAAGTCTCTTGCTGTGGTAACAAATTTACTTCCTAGGTGTTAAAGGATATAACATAGGGAAAGTGAAGTATTAGATGAAATTTTGAATCCCCAATTTTTTGCATTACTAGTTAATTTAACATTTACAATATCTTTACTAGTCACTCACACTCCCGAATAAGTCTTTATAATAAATAATAATACTCTATAAGCATTGTATTTTGATAAAATCTAGTAACAGACAACACCACACGTAACTTTATGAGTATTGGAAAAGTCGTATAACAGCCCTTGCCAGTTTTTTGTATACAAATATAGATAAATATGCTGTTTTATATTAACGAAATATATAAATTTTTTAACTTGAACATAAATAGACTTTTCTAAGGGCTGGATAACAGAAGTGTATTGTCAGCATCAAAAATAAACATTAACACCGAATCTGTCGATTATTCCATTTATCCATTAATTATATTATAATTTTTAAACTCGGCAAATATTATTTATTATTAAATGTAGTTATCTTTAATTTAATCGCGTGTAGCACGGGAGCACATGTCACAGTACGCATAAAACACGTGTTAGTAAGCGTGCAATCGTATATCTGTATACAATAGCATTAAACCCACGTATTGTGTGAATCCTTCTATCGTGATTTCCAACAATAATTACGATTTTCGAATATCTTTTCTGCGAATATATCAAGACCTTAGTTGAAATTATAGATCTATTAAAATTCTAGATAATTACGAAACAGAAGGAGAGAGAGAGAGAAGAGTGATTTAATCACTCATGTTTCCCTATACTTCATTAATGAAATAAGAAAACAGTAACAAGATGAAGACATGAAGATCAATAGTGTCAAAAGGGTGATTCTAAATGATAATTAATACAAAGAATACAGCGCAGTAGACAAATTAGTATATACTAGGGCTGTGTTGGCTTGTTTTGTACTAAATAAATGATAATTAATTCGCAAATACAAAATCAACTTTCCCCAAATTTCGTCTTTTCTGTGGTTTTATTGATTAGGGACGAGCGGGGAAGTGATGACGCGCTATTTACGCCTTCTACGTTCCCCTTAATTTGATTAATTTGATTTAAATTCGATAAAACGTGACAAGAATAAAAGGAGGTAATTTCGTGTATCGATAAAATTTGCTTATAGTGAATTTATCTTGGTTGCAAGAGGAAATATTCGCAATTCTTCCAATGTATTGTTAAAATATTATATAAAGTAAATATTACAATTAATTAGAAATTTAATGATGCAATAATTTCCCAAATAAAATTACTAGCGACATTTTATAAATGTATTTATTCTAAATGCAAACTTAATTATATATATATTTATAGTAAATTTAATACGTTTTTTCTTTATTTTAAGTAACAAATGACATAGATTCAGAATTACTAAATTAGAACACAGCTAATTAATACTCTTGGAATTAGTTGCTAAATTAGGATCCTCGTATATACGATCGTGTTAGAATTTTTAATATTTAAATATAAGGTAACTAATATATAATGCTTTCAAATGTACGAATAAAAAGATGCAGAAGAGAAGTTAAGATATGATATTTAAGTTCTGGAATTTTTGCATCCGAGTATTTTATAAATAATTCAGAATTAAAATTTTATTAACTATTATACATCCCTATTATCCTCAGTTACATTTAAAGTTTTATGTTAATGCATTTGATTCGTTTAAATAATTAAATAGGAAGAGAAACAATAGGGAAAATTTTTGATAGAAGGGTGATTTAGGGAATATTTATGACGAAATAATAAATTTTTAGCTGATATTTTTGTTATATAAACCGCATTATAAAGCTCTTCTGTTGATTATAATATATTATCCATTCCAAACATGCACACAAATTACATAAAACAGGTTTCTCAACAAATGACATTGAAAGCGAGACACTTCGAAGCACTTTGAAATACATATTCGGCTGTTATTTGGATAGAAAAGGTGAATACTTTTACAGGTTGGTTACGTAAATTATTACGGTAAAAAGAAATTAATTTTTAGTGTAACTTTTAAAAATGATGTTTAATTAACTATTTTAATTAAGTTATATAGAAATAAATGGATGGGTAAGGCGCTGGGTACCAATTTTCGAGCTACGTGAGCGACAGCACGAACGGGTTCAAAACACCACATGGTACCATCAACTCACTTGGTGAATGGTCTCACTAAACGAGTTGGCACCACGTGATCTCCGAACTCGTTCGCGTTGCCACTGATGTAACTAAACTAGACACCCTAGGGACAGAAACTATTGAAAAAATCCGAGAAATTTTTCGGAGGATGGTTTGTACCGAATACTCGACTCTCGTGGTGTCCAGGCGGCGGATAGAACCAAAAATAAGATTAAATGAAAATGGTAGAGGAATGAAAGATTGCAAGTTTGATTAATATGAATTTAATGATGTTTATCAACGTAAAACCTTTAATTTAATGAAAATAATTAATTTTTCACCGTATAATTTTACTAGGTTTGGCTTGATTGATGGGATAGGCAAATGCAACAGGCATGCGATCTACCGAGGGAGGTTTTCCGGGAGGCTTTTTTATTTAGGTGTTAGACACGCGAGAAATCCCGGAAAACGCCACGTAACCGGCAAATTGGTCAGGCGCAAACCCGCGATCAATGTTCAGCGATTTTATTCACGCGATCACCAATTTACTAGGTTCTCCGACCCTGACCCGCTTTCAGTGGTCCAATCTCGATGCATCATACGTTGTTCCTTTTATCAGTGTTACCAGCGATGCCGTTTTAATCATTAAGTGAATCAGGCACGTACGGTACCTAAGGCCCGGGAAATGCGTGTTTCCCGCTCCAGGGAAGATGTAAAAAAAATGCTACCACTAATACTGCTTTAAAAACTTTATAAAAATCATTAAATGCCACTATAAATGGCAAGTAAAATTGTCTGCCATACTGTACATTGTGTAAAACGGTATGGCAGACATCCACGTTCTATAATATGTTTATCTAGCCAGACTTTTATCTTACCTTCCCTTCAACAGTGGGACAGACTGGCTTCAATTTACTCTCAATATTGTCTATCGAGGCGGAAATTACCGAAAAGGTTTTTCTTGGTTTCTCTTGCACCAAGATATTTATGCTCTATTTGCTTCGCGCACCCTGTTAAAGCGTGTACTTAACCCACGTGATGCCCGAGAGTTACAAGTAACAGAATGTTTTCGTACGGAATGACAGAGTTTTACAATTTGGACCTGCATCATTGAAAGCCTGCGTAGCAGTTGTGAAATTTGTATTGTAATTCGTAAACTGTTAACAGCACGTGTGATACTGGCAACCCTAAGGAACCGATGAGAATGTTAAGCACGTACAGTACCATTTAATCTATTCTTGTTCATATCTTCTACCCATAATATTAGCATTTGTTTTTTTTTTTTTTTTTTTTTTTTTAAGTTGCTTCATGCACAGGACTTTCCCTCATCGTGCTTTGGTCAGGGATCGAGTTCTCGGTATAATTTTCTAGAAAGTTTTTCAATGCAAGATGATTTACCTTGTTAAGAGCGATCGCAGAACGTATGCCACTTCGTACGAAAATTCATTCTTCTCTCTAGCATTGTCCTTTGCAAAATTTAATTATGCCAACTTAAAACTTCAATTCGTATTTCTTTCTCTGTTAGGAATATATTTTGCATATTTAAAGAGCTGCTTAACCCGCGAAGAAAGAGGATTTTCATCCAAATTTGTGGTAACAGTGAGCAATTCAAATTTCAAAATAATATTGTAATTCCTTCCACTTTAAAATTATTTACTTATCAGATTTGAATTTAATATTTTTGGAATTTTTTAAACACATAAAATGTAATGCCACCGCACCCTTCCTCACCTTTATGAACAAAGGAATCGTTCTTATTATTTGACATCAACAGAAGGATTTAAGTATCAAAGTTACTAAACAAAATTTAATTTCATATTTATAAACAGAAGTAGAAAAATACACAAAAATTCCCAATTTAAGTGCAAAAAAAAAATAAATAAATAAAAGACGGAAAAGGGGAACTAATAATCCTCCAAACTATATTCTAAACTGGATAAAGAACTAATCTGTGATACTGTGAAACAGTCCTCAACAACTTAATTTTACTAATAATGTAAATTAATCATTAAGTATTCCCACGTCGTATTTTATGTGCCAAATCGTATAAAAGAAATGTCACGAGCTGAATGATAAATATAAACCTGGTTTTGTAGTGACAAAATGCCAAAAAGTAGCATTAATAATTAAAAGTAGTAAATTGAAAATCTTTATTCTTAACACATATTAGAAAGGATTGAATTGCGGAGAATAGAAGAAGTCAATGAAACATTTGATCAACTGCCAAGAGAGGCGTTTCCGAGCATTTTTAATAGACCTTATGTATTAATATTTATTATCTTTATTACTATATGCTAATTACTTTCTCGGCTGTTATAGAATTCAAGATACTACAGGGAAAGTTGAATTAAATTTAGACCCCCTCCAGTTTCTTGCATTTGAGTCCAACATGTTTAAAAAACAACCTTACAAAATTGTGTGCTTGTGTCAGACTCGATGAAAGTTTTACTCGTTATTAGTATTTATAATTTTTTCAAAAAACACTCCTACTCCCAACATTGGTATTGATATAAAGGCCGTTGCTTTTTTATATTAATTAATTAATATTATAAAAAAGTATGTTTTAAAAGAATCTTGTAACAGATGGAGCCACACATAACATCTACTTTGTAAATTATGAGTGCCGAGAAAGTGATGCAACCACTTTGCCAGCTGTTTTATTTTCTGTTATTAACTTATTTTAGTATACGTTTAGAATGAGTTGAATATTCATTTGCAGTACAAAATTTATATACGGTTATGGCTACGAATTACTAATTCAAGGCTATCATTAAACTTCCTGATAATAGGATAGTGTACTCAGAAAAAATTCCATGTTTTATTTTTAGGCTGCAATTTGTGGCGAAAGCTTCGGAACATTGGAATGCTCTCAAATTCCTGTATGCAATATCGAGTAATTACAGAGGACGTTGAAAAATAGTCCTTTTATTCTTCAGGCTTGAAAATTCCCCATATCTAGGGAAATATCTGCAGACTAGGAAACTCTGCATTGGGTTTAGTGAAATTGGGGTTTTTCGAACGGTTATATCGCTGCAAGAGTACATTTGGAACATAAAAATTTACAGGTTTTCTATTGAAAAATACAGTAGACCCCTATAACACGGGTTCATATAAGATGGATTCGTATAACACGGCGGAAAAAATTGCGATCGTGTTCGTAAAACACGTTAAAAGAGGCTCGTATAACACGGTAAAAGAATGAGACAGATTGTCATTGCCGACTCGTGTCTCGACAGGATTGGTCGAATCTTGACCAATAGTGGACATTGCACGAACCGTTGAGTTTAAACGAGTAGCGAACCTACTAAAAAATATTTATTATTCAACGGCCATAAAAATCATATTTCTATTAATGATGTCTCCAAAGTTCAGTGAATTTTTCACAGAAAGAATAACTTATCAGGAAACACGTGACCGCTGTCCTATGAGTCGCTCCGCGACGAAAACAAGCTTAAGCAACGGCATCATCGAACGGTGCGCACTCGTTAAGTATTATCTACAATATTTTGTTTGTAGCGTAGTTTATATGGATTATTTCGAAAAAATTATAAGTGTTTTGGAAATGTTCGAGAAAAATTAGCCTAGAATCGATTAATTTTATGGAAGAAAACCTTTCAAACAGCCGTACCCCCTAAACTGCACAAGTGACGACGGGCTGTGAACGGCTCACGTATTTGTAAAATCTAAGTGACTCCTACAACACGGAATTCATATAACACGGAACGTATCTACCGCGTTATAGGGAGTCTACTGTACAAGTACAATAAATGCGTCTAAAGGGTGGAACATTAGAATTTCTTCTATTAAAAAGTCTGCTTCTACTCAATTTTATGCTATGTGTGAGCCATTGATTCAATGCAGCTTCATGTTGAGGATTATTTCTTATTATACTTAGGTGCACGTAATTCGAAGAGCAATAACATTCGCTTCCCTTGTATATACCTCGGACGTACGAGCATATAAAATAAGAATAAATGTTTTCTCTAATTATGCTCCTAGTATAACTTTATTTATTAAATTAATATTGCTAATTATATCTATTGTATATAAGTTTAAATATAAACGAAATCTCGTTATGCAATTAAATTAAATTGTTTACAAGTTTATTAATTGTGGAATTTATAAAAATGAGTCCAATTGATCGTTACCCCGTTACGCGAATTGAATAGTTGAGAGGAAGCAGACCAGAATAATGGCTGAAAAATGAATAAAATTAAATAAATTTCTCGTTTCACTTTCCGTTTAGAATCGCTTCCTATTTCCTACACGATTATCGAGTAAAAATAATACTAAAATTGCACGCAATATTGCCATCTATTGGACTCGTAATGCTTATCTTATGCAATAAAAATAACACGTTTTAACCATAAAAATGTCATTAAAAATAAATTATTTTTTGTTGCAGCTTACAGATATGACTCGCATTTCTGTCGGCGTTATCTTAAAAGAAAAATTCCGAAATCTAGGATATGTTATCGGAAGGCATCCCTTACCATTCCTGATTATTCCAATTGTATTCACAGCGATATCGACTATTGGTATATTAAGATTTAGTTACGTACAGGATGCGGATTATCTATACAATCCTCAAAACAGTAAGGCATTCTACGAGAGGCAAACTGTAGAAAAAACTTTTCCTATGAATAAATCGTCAGATTTTGAACCCGGCAGACTGACACGATTAGGCAAATTTGGATGGATGTTAATTTATCCTAAAGATGGAGGATCGGTATTGAGAGAATCGATCTTAGACACGCTGTATACAATTGATAAAATTGTTAACAATATAAGCATCGAATGGAAGGGTGAAAAGTTGTTCTATAAAGATTTATGCGCTAAAAATAATGGAAAATGCTACGAAAATGTGATATTTTCCTTAAAGAAGTGGATAAAAGATATCGAAAGGAACCGATCGTTTGTAAAATATCCTATACTTTTGAACGAAGAAACGTACTCCTTAAAATTCTTTGCTGCCAGTTTAGGGGGTGTGACGGTTGACGATTTAGGATACGTGACTTTTGCCAAACTAGTCAGGTTAATGTACTTTTTGAATGACCAGGGCGAAGAGAATTTAGAGAAAACTTACAAGTGGGAAACTGTATTTTTAGATGAAATGAAAAATGTGAAATTCCCAAACGTGGATGTGTTTTATTTCGTATCCTCCTCTTTAGAGAGGGAAATTCATAATATGATAACTGATATTATACCGTATTATGTTCTTTTGCTGGTCATAATGTTAACGTTCTGTTTTATATCAACGTTAACTAAAGATTGGGTGAGAAGCAAACCCTGGTTAGGAGTAGCCAGCGTGTTATCTGTGGGTATGGCCATATTCACTTCTGTGGGCGTAGTCTTCGCATGTGGAGTACCATTTATTGATATACTCGTTGCTGTGCCATTTTTGCTTCTAGGTAAGTTATGTATTTTGATATTTATTCGTGTGATATTATCTTTTAATCGTAATAAATATTTAAAATTTAAAGTATAAATAGTTTGAGTATATGTCTCTTTAATCCGAATCAATAAAAACCCGGTAGACTTCCTCTCAGCTGTAAGGTTAGGCACTCCTTTATTGCAATTCACAAATGCATTTCAGGCCTATATAGTATCTAAGCCCCTCTTCAGTGTAAATGCTCAGAAGACAGACTTTAAAGTACAGTAGAACCTCAAAAACTCGGCTCTCGATAACCCGGCACTCCGTATAACTCGGCCACACCTGGCAGGGCAAAAAAATCCTTAGTTAATTAATTTTCATTATAGACAGCTTTATAAAAGTATAAAGGCTCTCATAAAGTATTTTTCTGAGGTCTGTCTTATCAGGTAAATTACTGTATACAGTGTATTCATTAATTTTCATTTTCATGTAGTAAAGGCTCTATGCCTTCATAANTTCAAAAGTTTCTCCCGAACGAAGATAGATAGATAACCGACACTACTCTATTGCTAAAGTATGAAGCACAAGATCAAGACCACCACTAAAAAATTGAGAACAATCTGACAAAAAGTTGTAGCCCAGCATTGTGACGATGTCACAATAAATAATCGCTTGTTAGAATTAGTTTGGTTTATTTGCTTACGGCAAGGCGACACGTGAGCGATCTGCCGAGGGGGATGCATTCCGGGAAGACTTTTATGGGAAGATGTACCCTATTTAAGTGTTATTAACGTGAAGAAAATCTGGAAAACGCCATCTTGCCAGCCAATGCCCAAACCCACAACTAACTACCAGTGTTTGGTGATTTTATCCACTTGGCTACTGAAGGACGCTTATTAGAATTGAGAAAGTACCGTTCAGAAATAAAAAACCTGAGTTGTTAGATATGGAAAATTAAATACTTGTAGGCTATTCACAGGCTTAAACACTTTTCATTCCATGCAAGCGTTATATGTTACAGATATCAATAATGATATAGCGCATCTATATAGCGCTATATCATTGTCGCAGTAGTTACGTGAATACAATGTAAATTTTTTAAATTATAAACTTTTTTGTAAAATTATATTTAGTTTATTTTGTTAACGTTTTTGCCTATAGATGGCGCTACATGTAACTCAGAAAATCGAATGTTAATAAAAATTAATTGATTTATAGAAATGCAATAGATATTTTGGGATGAAATGTACGACATGATCTAAGTTAGAAGTATTTGAACCTAATTACTGAGTTTCCTAAGAATTGGTCGAACGGCCTAGGAATGTATAGCGAACATACAAACAAACATTCTCATTTATATATATAAATAAATTATTGTAATTGGAAGACAAAAATATTACGCAGACAGCGTAGGTTTATTATATTAAACAAGTCTTCGATAATACTTATTGTCATTTTGTTATTTCATTTAATTAATATAGACATCAAGGCCACTTTTTTCAGGTGTCAAACATCGATTCGGATGTATGCCTAACGTGATACATAACACGGAAAAAATACCGTATATTAATTTATCACATGAACTTTTTAATTCTTATTTTGTGGATTGTCTAATAAAATTTTAGTGCTGCTTCTAAAGTAAAAAATCCAGCAACGAATTGCTTAACTTTCCTGACAATATCTAAAACTGCGTATGTTGCGCCATCTGTTAAGCTATTTTATTAAAAATAACTTTTTATATTTTTAATTATTATAAAATGACAAAAAGCTTAATTTTGAGGGTAAGGATGGGTTTTGTAAAAAAAAAAATTTAAATGTTAATTTCTGTATCTACACGACAGCTTAGAAACTACATCCGTACATAGGAACCGCTAGAATAATAGTGAACTTCGTTACAGATAGTTTCTATCTCTCTTGTAAGGTGAGACTACCCTATCAACACTTAACAGTCATAAACATTCTAACATCAACATTGCAGTTTCAAAAAAAAAAGTAATTTTCCCCAAAAATATTTAGAGGTGATCGTTATCGCAGGTTCGACTTTATAGAGGAATAAAGAGATCATTATTCGTCATCTCAATCACACTAATTTAGTGATTTGAGTAAATTAAAGAAGCCACCCTTCATACTTTTACTGTCATAACATAAATTATTATCAATCATTGAATGCATTTAGGTGTTGTAAATAAAGACTTAATTCTTACGTAAGACACCTAAGAGTATAATATGCATACGTCATACATATGTATACCAGTGGCGTGCCGTCATTAGAAGCGGTGGATGCGCCGCTTCCCTTGTATTTTCTAAAAAAATAAATACATATTTAAATATTTTTAAAATAAATTAAAAATTTATAAATATAATTCTTCATTCGTAGTCTTGACATAAAATTTCTTATTTACATAAGTAATTACAGCTAATGGCTTATATACAAAGTTTCTTAATTTCCTTTTGGTATGTACTGTACAGTACTGTACCTTTTAGCAGCACCTTTTAAGGTGCTGCTAAAAGGCTGTACCTGCTTGTACCTGCTAAAAGTGTACATTATTGAAATATTTAAAATGTTTATATTAATATTTAAATTTTTAATATTAACCAATTATTTAATCATCAGGTATTGGACTGGATGATACTTTTGTAATGTTGGCAGCGTGGAAGAAAACTGATCCAAACGCAAAGGTGGACGAACGAATTTCTCAAACACTTAGCGAAACTGCAGTGTCGATAACAATCACTTCACTTACAAATTTCATATCATTCATGTTTGGTTTCATGACCCCTTTTCCGGCTGTGAAAATATTTTGTTCATTTGCTGCCACTGGCATATTCTTCACTTACTTGTACCAAATCTCTTTTTTCAGTGCAGCTGCAGCGATTTTTGGTATTTTAGAACAGAAAAGATTTCACTCCCTTTTCTTCGTTCCTATGAAACCGAGTAGTAAGTATAATTTAATGTTTTTAATTTAAAATTAAGGACTTAGACAAGTTGCAGAAATTACATGTTATAGTAGAATTTCATTTACAACTTTAAGGGAAAATTTGATGTAAATCCATGTGTTTCGCGATGAAAATTAATTATATTCATGGAATCTGTCATCAGATATATTGGAAACCATTTACAATTAATTCGTTTCAGAACATAAAGAACTGGTGAGATGAAAAATTTCTAAATGTAAACAGGTGAAATTATTAAAGAAATTCGTATGGCATTTCATATTTATTAAAAAAAAAAAAACTCTGGCGGCATAGAAATTTTACATAATAGTGCATTGTATTTTTGACATTCGTAGATAAGAAATGGACTATGTTGAATGATTGCCAAGATCTGATAGAAATGAAGTCTTTGTGTCGAAAGACAGCATAAAATTTGATTTTTCAGACAGAATGAAAAGCTGATTTCTAGAAATGTTTTTATTTGAGCTGGAAACAAGAAAAGAAAAGAAATAGCTCGATTTTAATTACATTTTTTTATATATAAAACATCACTATGGTATAATATGGTCATTTCGAATAATCCGAACTTAAACACCGATGATGTAACACATTAGACTAGTCATAACGTTCACTGTATCAATTTGAAGTTGATTAAAGTAAGATAAGAAAGGATTAGTTAGTTCGTAGCTACCGAAGTCGCGTAATAAAATATTTTTTAAGTCTTTCTTTTAGTTTATTATATTAATATACTGTAGACTAGCATACGAATGTACAGTACATAAATAATTTTTTAAATCACTTTATTACNGTCTACATTAGGCCGAGTTTTCGAGGTTCTACTGTATAAACTTTAATATTCGAATAGCGTGTTCACCCAAAGGAGGAGACAGGGTAAAAAATGCATTTTGAGCAGGAATGGAGAACCCACGACTTTTGGCAACATGCTTTATGTAGTATACAGGTACAATCCTTGTGATACCTGTATACCAGAGTGTGGGTTCGAATATACCAGTAATAAAGCTTGTATACGCAGATTACACTTTATTCTAAAACATGCAAAGAAAAATTGATTTAAAATTAAATGGGGCCATATAATTTTGCAAAAAGTTTATAAAATATAATTTTCCTTGAAATACTCGTATGTAAGAATAGTTCGTAAATAGTTAAAGAGAAAGCTTTATCCAAGGTTATCTTTGAATACATTAAAATGCCAATGCAATTTCTGATTTAGCTAACAAGAATTCTTTAGTTGATTGCACGTTAGATGATATCAAAATTCAAGAAAAAATACCACGTATAATCTATGATGAATTAAACACGATAATTATTTCCTCCTGTTATATAATTTTTTTCTCTTGGTGTTTCTTTATTATTGAAGCATTTAAGCTAAAAATGATTCGTAAATAAGATATACGGATTTATTCTTGCATAGTTATTAATCGTGATTACAATATTCTATGGCACTCTCAGAATATGATTCTCATATATTTTAAGAGCGCCATGGCGATGAAATTTTCTGTTTTATTCACTCTTTTCTTTCTAGGTAACACTATTGTATGAAATAATTTAATTTGAGACCTTATATAAGGGGTCTCCAATATTATAGTTACCAAATTGAACTCTTACACATAAAGAAATTGCATTCAAAACAGAACTTCGTGATGCAGCCAAGTCTGAATGCTCTTTTAATTAATGGCTTCAAAATCGTTCCGTTTTAATTAATGTAATGATGGATTTGTAAATAATGTTTACAAATTACCATCATCATCGTCATTAGAGTCTATATATAAATCAAGGCATAAATCATAATATTTTGATAATTTTGAAAATTATTTGCGATTTTTCAAAAATTCTATAAAAGTATCGGTATATTAATTGATTTATTTTTATCCAGTAATCATTACGTCCTGTTTTTATAACGCAATTGGTTTCTGGAAAACGATTAAAAATCGTTGGTCGTAAAGCGAGCGGTCGTAAGACGCGTGTTAAGTCATATCTTTGTCATTTAAAATTTATTAATATTATATGTTGCAAATATAAGGTGCTCCAAAAGTCAGTTAACCGAGCTATATTTTCAGCCTGGTGACAAAAACAGCTGTACCAAATGGGTTTTATCCGTTGTTAAACTACACTTTGGTTAGCTGACTTTTGAGCCATCCGTTATATCTGAATTTAAGCCAATAATTTTGTATTTTTTTCATTTACTAAGGAACTGATTATAACTGTTTGTTTTCCTTGTTGATTGACGTACTTTCTTATATAAATGTTTATTTCGTTTTTATTTAATGACAAACACAAAATCTTTTCCTGTTATAAATATACTTTATTGGCGAAAACTACGTATTATTAACATTTTAAAGCTAATATTTATTTCATTTATTTAATATTTTGAAACATATATTAAAGATGAAAATTCTGTATAAGATTATGTAAAGTCTATAACTATAATAAGAAAATTTATATACGGATAATATGTAAAGCGTTTGAAGATCGATTTAAAACGTATTTTTTTTCTCATTTAAATATTTTTAAAATAAATTAAAAATTTATAAATATAATTCTTCATTCGTAGTCTTGACATAAAATTTCTTATTTACATAAGTAATTACAGCTAATGGCTTATATACAAAGTTTCTTAATTTCCTTTTGGTATGTACTGTACAGTACTGTACCTTTTAGCAGCACCTTTTAAGGTGCTGCTAAAAGGCTGTACCTGCTTGTACCTGCTAAAAGTGTACATTATTGAAATATTTAAAATGTTTATATTAATATTTAAATTTTTAATATTAACCAATTATTTAATCATCAGGTATTGGACTGGATGATACTTTTGTAATGTTGGCAGCGTGGAAGAAAACTGATCCAAACGCAAAGGTGGACGAACGAATTTCTCAAACACTTAGCGAAACTGCAGTGTCGATAACAATCACTTCACTTACAAATTTCATATCATTCATGTTTGGTTTCATGACCCCTTTTCCGGCTGTGAAAATATTTTGTTCATTTGCTGCCACTGGCATATTCTTCACTTACTTATACCAAATCTCTTNATCAAGGTAGATGAGCTACGTTAGTCAATTAACTTAAAACCAGACATATATTGCTGATGTTCTACAGTTCTAATGTAAGAAGGCTAACATCATATTGTCAAGGATTCTTAACCTCAACTCTGTGGATAGGATTTAGAAGGATCCACGAAATGACAGTCTAACCGAAGAAACGTAAAAAAAGTTTATAAAAATTAAATTTTAAATTTTTCTCTAATATGAATTAATGGTGGATTTCGTCTTATTTGTTGTCAAAACAAATTTCTTTTTTAAATTTTGAAATCGCATCGATACATTGTTGATAAATTACTTATTTCTATTAATACGTAAATAATTTTCGATGCAATAAATTGAATCCATTATTTTTTTCAGATTTACATATGCATTTTTCTATGGGAGGATCTTTAGCTTTAGATTCTTAACGGATCTGTGTCCTAGAAAAGTTAGGACTTGATCTAGATTCATTCTAGATATTTAGCACGTATCCATGTATTACTCATTACATTCTGCTCTATATTCATTATTTCTTATATAGTAGAAATTCTATCTGTAATTATTACGTATAAAATGCAATTTTTTTTATTATTTAAATTTGAAAAGGCAGATTTTTATTTGTACAAAATTTCAAAATGCAAATGTAGTTCTCACATTAATAATTAAAGGTGCAAAAATAAATATTAATATTTTGTATAAAAGTTCTAAACTGAAAGAAAACTCACTCCTGTAACAATTTTTCTTAAATAACAGTTTTTCCGTGTATATAGGAAAAGGAAGTCTATAATTTTCCTCGATTGTTTCTCGATAAAAATATCGCGATTTCGACTTATAATAAAATAAAATACACTACATTATAAATAACTTATTTTTATATTTGCTGTTAATTTCGAATGACATATTTCGCTTGCAGAATAAATTTTATAAAATAAGATTTAATAGCAAATTTTCCTGTATTCATTAAAAACATTAAAGGAAGAAGTATATATTTTTCTATTTATAGAGAAAAAGAATGTCATTCACACTCTATTATGTTGTACATCCGAGTCTACTGATTACCAAGACGATAAAATAATGGCATTTTTTCGAGATACTCTTAGCTATTATTTTTCCTACAAATGGTTTAAAATCTCTATAATTTTTACCTATATCGTGTACTTGTCATTTGCAATTTTCGGTTGTTTTTACTTAAAAGAAGGAACAGAGCTCCATTTCTTCACACCATTCAACTCTTACGCCGCTACATTTCTTAATCACTTCTTCGAGGATTATCGAGAATATCGAGATAGGATCCAAGTGATCATACCCACAACTTTAAACTATGCAGATCCTAAAGTGAGAGACGAAATTGAAGATATGATGCGAAAACTTGAAGCTACCCCTTACATTGCTAATAAAGAACTGACGGAATCTTGGTTGAGATATTTTAAGACATTTCAGAATGATCCAAGAGCTTCTATTTATTTGCGTAAATACAATTTCAGCGCTAAAAGTGATTATTTGCACGCATTGAGGAATATGTTTCTGAATTATCCACCGGCCATAAGATTTAGAAATGACATCATTTTCAATGAAAATTTCACAGAAATTACTGCTTCGAGATTCTTGATCCAAACAAAAGTCACCGGTGATTTTAACGATGCCAAATTCATGTTGGTAAGATTGAGAGAAATTGTAAATAATGCTTCCTTCCCGGTCTTCTTGAGTCAATTTTTCTTTCCCTTCTATGATCAGTTTCTAACTATTGGTGCCATTTCCCAGCAAACTTTATTAACTTGTGGTTGCACCATGTTGTTTCTCATCATTTTATTCATTCCCGATATACGCTGCTTCATTGCTGCTGTATTAAACATGGTTTCGATCGAAATCGGAGTTATAGGATACATGTCGTTCTGGGGTGTCAATCTGGACACAGTTACTATGATGGTGTTAATCATGTGCGTTGGATTTTCGGTCGATTATGTGGCCCATATGGCCACGTCGTATCTCGAATCGGACGAGAAAACCGATATGGAACGTTTGAAGCGTGCTCTTCATTCTGTGGCTACTCCAATCGTCCAGGGAAGCTTAACCACAATTTTAGGAGTTATCGTGATTTTAGCATGTCCTAGTTACATATTTCTGTGTTTCGTGAAAATAGTATTTCTATTGATAACAATAGCAGCTTTCCACAGTATACTTTTGCTTCCGCTATTATTTGTTTTTCTCGATAATGTCCTACCGGAGTATTTGTTAACAGTTGGAAGAAGGAGTAAAATTGTTTCTTCAGTATGTGAAACAATTACAGAACGCCAAGAAAGTACGAAATTGTTTGAAGGTACGATGCATTCGTAGGTTTTATTATTCCACTTAAATTAAAAACTGTACATTTATTTCTATAATATGAGTGATATTTTTGTATGAACAATAAATAAATATGTTTAAAATCTTAATATTGACCGAATAGAAAATTGTAAACAATTATTGTAATGTAATTTATATTAATAATTAAACCGTGTGATTAACATTTTATGTACTATCAAGTCATATTTTTAAAAGGACATGTCCTGTATACAATTTAAAACGTATGAATGATATATGGCATGAGTGATTCATCATAAGAACACTGTATATAGAATAGTTTTAAATTTTATGTAAAAAAGAATATATATATATTCTTTTATTGCTGTATTTTTAAATGAAATTGTAATAAATAAATTTTTTATTAAAGGAGAATTCAATTCAATTTTATTATGGATGTACAGAGTACTGTACATACAGTACCTGACTCCGCAAGGCACTGTCAGATGTTAGTTACATAGAGATGAAATAATACAATACAAGAGGTGTAAGATAATACAAGAAAATGTAACAGAGTATTAATACATAAAATTTTACCTAAAGTATAAAGTTAAAATTAAAATAAATGAATAATGATCAGGAAATTTATTTTATTCGATATTATTAAAAGTTTAGTAAAAACCTAAGAATTTCATAAAATATGAAAAAATTTAAATAAATAAATTTAAATAAATCTTCTCAAATACCTTAGAAAAGTCCAGCAATGAGCTGCATAACTTTTTCGGCGAAAAATATTTGCTTCAGAAACATTAAGTCACTGAGTAAAAGTAAAAATTTGGTGTTACGCCATCTATTATGAGTTGTTATGAAAAAATAACTTTTGTATTATTAATTATTATAAAAATGCAAATGGCTTAATTTTGAGGATAGAGATGAAGTTTTTTGTAAATAGTAAATGCCAATAACTAGTAAAATTTTTATTATGTCATACCCCACTCGAGATATTACACGTGACCCTCTCTAGCTTCTCCCTCGACCTTTAACCTCCAAAATAGCATCAATGCATCTTACATAAAGTAACGTGTCGAATTTCGTTTCTTAATCTTTACCCCATCCTGAGATATTAAACGAATACAGACGATCAACATGTGTGTTGGTCCCATGTCCACATACGTACATATATACATAAATATACATAGATATTTTTCCTGTTTTTCAGTCTTTTTTTACTTTATGTTCAGGTGGTCTCAAAACGTCGAGATTTGCAAAAAACTTTGACATAATTACAATATTTTTCCATGTTATATAACATACATAACATCAAGGAAAGTAAAATGATTTTCCGTAATAATTGCACGCGCGTGCTTCTCCCTCAACAGGAGAAATTTCAGAAATACCCATCACTCTTCTCGAAACATTCAAAATTGTCACCATTTTGAGAACACGATTTCAAAAAACTGACACTGTTAATCTGCTAAATTTGAATACAAACCAAACGCGCGATTATTTATTGTAACATCGTCAATGCCGGGCTCCAACTTTAATCATCTTTTAATTTAAAAAAGTCACGTAACTTCTGATACAGACCGGAATTTCGTATATAGTTAATCGGGGTCTCTGGTCCCCTAAGCTTTCCATGTCTGGTCTGCATTTTAGTGTTCTCTTGCCTCTATATATCATACTTTTCCTGGTAAAAATCGAGTCATGTCGGCCGTCTATTTAACTCCGTTCTCGAGATAAATGAACAGACAGACAGCAGGATGGACGATAGTGGTAATGTATAGGTATACAATTTGAAAATTGCAAACCAAAAATGTACTTTGTTCAAAATAGACTGCAATCTTCTCGTAATGCTCTTTAAATCTGACTTTTTCTCGGCTCCTGTTGGCAAAATCGTAAAACCAATTAATGTTAGAATCCGAACACGGAATTACGGATCATCTGTACACATTTCTAACAAATTAACGCAAAAATAAATTTTATTTTGAACCGTTCGTATCAGTTTTAAACGAGTTTAAGTTTATAAGTACGGAGCTGTTCAGTAATTACTTGTACAGAATGAGAGAGGGAGGGGCTAGCGAAAAAGGCATCGCTGTACGCAACAGGGAAGGGGAGGATCAAAAATATTTTAGAAATTGATTTATTTAATGGACGGTCCTTGTCCTGCAACCTTTATCATGCAATATATCAGACAATTCTATAACTTTATAAATGAAAAAGTAATTATGCAAGTGTTCCAATATATTTCTTCATAATAAACATTAATTAAGTAAGAATAAGTTAAAGTTTTATAAATTTTTAATAGGTTAATAATTTTTTGTGCTTAATTAGATAGGTTTAACTCATATATGGAGTTAGTGACTAAAAGCTGACATAATATTAATAATAATAAATGCTAGTAGATGGCGTTAATATCAAAGCCGTATATAGATTCAATCTTTACTGCGATTCGTTAAAAGTTCGTCACGTAATATAAGGGCGCCATTTTCTGTACCATCTGCCTGTAGTTTGTGGCAGAGTTAGTCTTGCGTATATGTTTCTAATTTAGACAGTCTTATTTTTAAAATATGATGTATTTCTCTACCTTAAAATGCTCAAACAGACCTGGAAGAGATGTTAATTTTTTTTCTTCTATGTATTTTACGTTCATTTAAAAAAGATAGAGCAAATACTGTATGATCAATTGATGCTTTATACATTAGTTTCCAGTTCGGACCAGTCAGTTTTTGGATCTAATATTAAAACAGAATTTGAAATAAGAAGTCCTTGAAATAATGTGTTAAATCCTTACGTGAGATAACTTTTGTAGTCATATAAATCAAATACTATAATATAACAAACATTAAAACGAAAGCCATATAAAGAGTTTGGTTATTTCAGCCTACCATTATCACGTTTATCGCGATACTCCGATAATACGAAATGACACATATTCAACGGTCAAGTAGACACCAGTTGTAAGTATTTTCAATTTTTCAGATATAATATTTTCTAATGTTAACTCTAAGAAAGTGAAGCATTTACAGCCAACCAATCAAATTAAAAAAAAAACGGACCAAATATTTAGACACGACACCCTCAGAAACCACTTAAATCATATTTTGTGCTCACCGGTAACTTTGTATTATATAATTTTCCTGTTCAAATGCCACCATACCGGTGAGTCCGATAGGAAGAAGGGGCTGTTGCAGAAAGAGATTAAAATTAATTCCATCAAAAGTAGTCGTTGTCTTCCTCCTGGAAGAGAGGAATCGGTATCCTCTCTTCCAGTTAATACTAGACCGGTATTAATTAGTAGTCAATGACTACTAAGTAATACCGGTCTAGTATTAACATTTAAAAGAGGTTGAATAGGTTGTGATAACCTTGCACGTGATCGAAGTTGCTAACCTTAACGTCTGTATGACTTTATATAAAACTTGTTTAAATTAAAAAATCTTGTAAAAATGCTAGAATAATTGCTTTTATGGGATAATAAAGTGCTTAAATTTTGGCAACAGCTTGTTTAAACTTCGTGGGAAGTATGTTCTCGTAAATAATGCGTTTATCGAAAAATCGTTGGTTTGCAATTAAAAAAAATTGTAGACCTATAAATTTCCACTGTCATCTTCTGTTGTCTGTCTGTCTCTCCTTCCTTAATCTCGAGAAGGAAGTTGAATGTTGATACCAGATGTGGAAAGCTTAGGGGCAGGAGGCCCAGATTAACTATATACAAATTTCCAGTTTGAAACAAAAGTCACGTTACTTCAATTCAAAAGTTTCTCCCGAACGAAGATAGATAGATAACCGACACTACTCTATTGCTAAAGTATGAAGCACAAGATCAAGACCACCACTAAAAAATTGAGAACAATCTGACAAAAAGTTGTAGCCCAGCATTGTGACGATGTCACAATAAATAATCGCTTGTTAGAATTAGTTTGGTTTATTTGCTTACGGCAAGGCGACACGTGAGCGATCTGCCGAGGGGGATGCATTCCGGGAAGACTTTTATGGGAAGATGTACCCTATTTAAGTGTTATTAACGTGAAGAAAATCTGGAAAACGCCATCTTGCCAGCCAATGCCCAAACCCACAACTAACTACCAGTGTTCGGTGATTTTATCCACTTGGCTACTGAAGGACGCTTATTAGAATTGAGAAAGTACCGTTCAGAAATAAAAAACCTGAGTTGTTAGATATGGAAAATTAAATACTTGTAGGCTATTCACAGGCTTAAACACTTTTCATTCCATGCAAGCGTTATATGTTACAGATATCAATAATGATATAGCGCATCTATATAGCGCTATATCATTGTCGCAGTAGTTACGTGAATACAATGTAAATTTTTTAAATTATAAACTTTTTTGTAAAATTATATTTAGTTTATTTTGTTAACGTTTTTGCCTATAGATGGCGCTACATGTAACTCAGAAAATCGAATGTTAATAAAAATTAATTGATTTATAGAAATGCAATAGATATTTTGGGATGAAATGTACGACATGATCTAAGTTAGAAGTATTTGAACCTAATTACTGAGTTTCCTAAGAATTGGTCGAACGGCCTAGGAATGTATAGCGAACATACAAACAAACATTCTCATTTATATATATAAATAAATTATTGTAATTGGAAGACAAAAATATTACGCAGACAGCGTAGGTTTATTATATTAAACAAGTCTTCGATAATACTTATTGTCATTTTGTTATTTCATTTAATTAATATAGACATCAAGGCCACTTTTTTCAGGTGTCAAACATCGATTCGGATGTATGCCTAACGTGATACATAACACGGAAAAAATACCGTATATTAATTTATCACATGAACTTTTTAATTCTTATTTTGTGGATTGTCTAATAAAATTTTAGTGCTGCTTCTAAAGTAAAAAATCCAGCAACGAATTGCTTAACTTTCCTGACAATATCTAAAACTGCGTATGTTGCGCCATCTGTTAAGCTATTTTATTAAAAATAACTTTTTATATTTTTAATTATTATAAAATGACAAAAAGCTTAATTTTGAGGGTAAGGATGGGTTTTGTAAAAAAAAAAATTTAAATGTTAATTTCTGTATCTACACGACAGCTTAGAAACTACATCCGTACATAGGAACCGCTAGAATAATAGTGAACTTCGTTACAGATAGTTTCTATCTCTCTTGTAAGGTGAGACTACCCTATCAACACTTAACAGTCATAAACATTCTAACATCAACATTGCAGTTTCAAAAAAAAAAGTAATTTTCCCCAAAAATATTTAGAGGTGATCGTTATCGCAGGTTCGACTTTATAGAGGAATAAAGAGATCATTATTCGTCATCTCAATCACACTAATTTAGTGATTTGAGTAAATTAAAGAAGCCACCCTTCATACTTTTACTGTCATAACATAAATTATTATCAATCATTGAATGCATTTAGGTGTTGTAAATAAAGACTTAATTCTTACGTAAGACACCTAAGAGTATAATATGCATACGTCATACATATGTATACCAGTGGCGTGCCGTCATTAGAAGCGGTGGATGCGCCGCTTCCCTTGTATTTTCTAAAAAAATAAATACATATTAATTTTAATTATATGAAAATAATTGCACAATATTTTATTATAACCTCATTATGTATGTTATTACANAAGACATTATATTACTAATTATTATAAAATTTTGACATAATCATACCTTGCCCCATTATGTAATCCAGTGGCATGCCATCATTGGAAGCGGTGGATGCGCCGCTTCCCTTGTATTTTCTAAAAAAATAAATACATATTAATTTTAATTATATGAAAATAATTGCACAATATTTTATTATAACCTCATTATGTATGTTATTACAAATTTCTATACTACACGTGAAAAAAAGATAAGATTGCTATTGTATATTCGAATATTAGTGGCGGAGTAGCGGAGCGGAGTATGTTTTTATGATAGTTTTCTGTATAGATGACAGGAGTTTTAAAAAATACGTTAAAATATTTTATATATTTATTCCGCTCTCCCATTTTATATTGCTCACGGATTTCAATGTTAAACCAGTGATATTACGATTTTGTAGGTCCCATCTATAAGAGGATGTAGAAAAAAACGTGTACAATTCTTGTATAATGTTAAAAAATTAACTGTTACTTTGGTAGCATCATTTACAACTAAATTTAATGAATGAGAGAGATGCACCAGGTACAGAAAAGGCTCTAGAATTTATTTTCCTTAAATTTACGATTTATGTATCCGTTGTCATAAAAACTTGTCTTTTCACTTTTTTCCCGAGACTACAAATATTCAAGTACGAAGTAACCGGTTTCGACTTATTTCTACTTAAGAAGTAGTTAAATAATTAAGCGATTAGGGAAGTGGGGACATAAACAAAACCCTGATGAAAGAGCCGGAATATTACTTAAACAAAAGCTTAACCGAACCAATCTATAGCCGAGTACAGTGGGGACTGATTTCTTCGAAATACTGTATTAGATGTAATAAAGACAGAAATTTTTCCAGTTCGACGAGAGTGACCGAAAAGTTGTAAATTTTGGAAATTTCCGTGGACAACACCTGGTCCTAAAACGAATTAGTTAGAAAACAAAAGACGGACAATCTATTAAGTTTAACATATTTAGATTTTTACAGCTATGGTGAGAAACGTTTAAAATTTACAACAACCCTGTCGCGTCCTTTGAGATATACTAGTGATGCGACAAAAGAGGCATTTGACATTGATCAGTATCAGCACCCTCGGGATTTGGCAGCCCGTGTGCATGTACACACCGCACACCTAGCAGGACCGTCTCTGATTCCACTCGTAGGGAGCTATTTGACTAAGTGGTTAAGATTTAAAGAGTAAAGAATATTTTATGTTATTTTTATGTACGTTTCATTACAAAGCTATATTTAATTATAATTTTCTTTAAAAGTATATTCATACAATTGAAGAATATTTTGTACCAGGTATGTATATCCACCACACATTTTATTTCACCAAGTAAGTTTTTATAATTTTATTTTTAATTTTAGCCCTTATATCGTGGCTAGCGATTCGGAATGTAATTGCGATATTGAAAATTTATTTTAAAAAAGTTTTGGCTCGAGATCATATAATGAAAAAGAAAACATTATTAAAAGAGAAAGGCCAATGCCTAAGTTAAATATAAACGCTTCAATAAAAAAATTTGTTCGATATTTTCACGATAAAATGGCTCTGTAAATGCATAAAAATGCATTTACAGAGTGAAATTAGTGTGTGGAATAAGAATGTCTTTGACAATTTAGCTGGCAAAAGACACGAAAAATCGTCGATTCTTTCGTATTTGAAGCAATTTGGAAATCGAAGCGGAATACAATTTAACATTAGTAAATAATATAAAATAAATATTGAAAATTATAACGAGATAGTTACGGTTAATAGATATATCATATCTAAATAAATAGATGTTATATGTTTTTACCAAAGCAAGAATTGGCATTTAGAGGGCATATGGAATATATTGGATTTAATAACAGAGGTAATTATATTGAACTTGTTTATTTATTAAGTACATCAGATAAACAATCTATTAAAAATATATTTTAAAAAAGAATTAACTGATTGCCCCTGGAAGTCGGCTTCTTATAGAAACACAGCTTATTCCCTATCATCAAATGTCACGACACGCCACTGATACATACGTAATATAGTCTATTGTACGGTCGTAAGTCGATTGCCGAATGTATATATAGTCATATGCATTTTTTATGTTGAGACAATGAAATAATTTAATTGGATCTCATTATTTTGGAAAAAGGTATAGACAAAAGTTGTAGGGTATTGAGGGCCAATCAATTTGTGACCTCAGATGTGACCTTGACCTCTAAATGACCTTGAATGTCAAGGTCACATCTGAAATCACAAATTGATTGGCCCCTCAATAGCCTACAAGTTTTGTCTATACTTTTTTCCAAAATAATGAGATCCAATTAAGTTAGTTCATTGTCTCAACATAAAAAATACACCCTGTATATAAGATACCCTATATATAAGGCATTTGATGTAGTATATCAGGTACGATACGTATGCACCTTATACATATGTAAATGTGCTATAGCTATATTATGTCTTAAATCTTTATCAATTGGGACTTTGGAATATTGTTTTGACCTTTAGAACTAATTAAAGTTCTAAAGATCGAAATAAAATTCGAGAAAATTAATTAATGTATTTTTTTTATTTTAAATTAAATAATAAGTATTTAAATTTTAAAAAAATTATAAAATAATATAATATATAACTTTATTAAGAAAATATTCACATGAATTTAAAAAATTTGAATATTAAACACTTCTTAAATTTCTTTTCAAATATATTTTAACAATTATAAAATGTAAATATGTTACATTTTCTGTAAATTGTAATACAAATTTTCGTATAAAAATTTTATTTACAATATTTTACTGTATATCGATCTTTACCGTATAACATATCGAAGAGATTTCACGTGTATCAAGCGTTTAATCACGCTTATGTATAAACTTATGTGTTGCACGAATATTGTTGTTAGAAAGATAAACGACGTATTTGATTACATGTGTCAAATTCATTATGAAAACAAATCGACAATAAAGAAATTACTTATCTAATAAACATGACACTTTGAACAGACAGAAAGACATACAGCAATAAACAACTGTAGTTAAACGAGCGATTATTTATAGTGACATGGTCACAATGCCCGGCTGCAATTTTTAATTATATTTTTAATTTATTTCATTTAAAACATATGTTTTCCACCGCAAATTAGTAGTGGCTTGCCCCGTACTTCATACTTTTTCTTACAATAAAGTCTTCCCGGTCATCTATCTAATTCCTTCCAGAAAATTTTTCAATTGAGATAACGTGACTTCCGATTTGCGTCGGAAGTTCGAATATAATTAACTGGGGGTCTCCTGCCCCTAAGGTTTCCATATCTTGTCTCGGATTTCGTCTACCTAACTCCATTCTCGAGATTAACGAAAGACAAAGAGATGGACGGATGGAGGGACGGCAGTGGAAATTTATAAGTCTGCAATTTGAAACTAAACTTATATTTAATTCCGGAATTAAACGTCTTAATGACAGAAGAACCTTTTCTATCGCATTATTACTTAAACCTATAAATTTCCACTGTCGTCTGTCTGTTTGTCTGTCACTCCTTAATTTCGAAAACGGAGTTAGATAGATGAAAGAAGATATTAGATATGGAGGTTCCGAATAATTACTAATTACATTAATTATGATATGTTAGATATTTTTCGGTTTCACTCATAAAAATAAATTATTTTCGGTCTTTTGTATAAGAAAATAACACACTTAGACGTACGATATACATTTGTATAAACAAACATGAAAAATGAAAACCCGTAGTATTCATCTTCTTTAACAAATATAACCCGTATAATCGAAGATTTTTTTATGTACTGTACTTCCTTCTCTTTACATGAAGGTAATGCTTTGTTTTCTCTTATATCTCTTGAATGTCTTCTCGAGTTGTTTGTTAATGTCCTCTAGTCCCCACAACTCAATTTTCATTCAAAGGGGAGGAGAAATATTGTACAAAATAAAGCTTATATTAAGTACTATCACAATTGGGCACTACAATGAATTTCGTCTGTTCTTGCGCATCTTTACTTCTTTTGACTGCGTGATTTGTCTTTCTTTTTCTCCCAAATGTTATTAATAAATTCGGCAAAACGTTGTCTAAAAATACAAACAAAAGTGGCAACAAAAGTATACTGTGATATGCCGCAATAGTTATCAAGAGGAAAACTATTTTCACAAAGCATAAAAATATGTAACTAGGGCATGCTAGAATAACAACAACACCCAAAATAGTGGTGACGCTACCTTGAATAATAGGTGTACCCACAGCATGGAGAGCATTTTTTAGTCGTTCCAAATTGCATTTTTCTTCAGATTCTAGGTAAGATGATGCCATGTGGGCTACGTAATCCACGGAAAAACCCACACACATAATTAAGATCATCATGGAAATGGTGTCCAAGTTTACGGACCACAGCGACATATACCCGATGACGCCAATTTCTATGGAAATCATGTTGATGACGGCTGCGATGAAGCATCGTACGTCTGGTATGAAGATGGTGATGAGAAACAACATGGTGCAACCACAGATCAGTAAGGTTTGTTTAGTAATGCTACCTATTGTGAGAAACTGGTCGTAAAAGGGGAAGAAGAATTGGCTCAAGAGTATGGGGAATGAGGCGTTATCTATTATCTCCCTCAATTCTACTAACATGAATTTGGCTTCGTTAAAATCACCCGTAATATCCGTTTGAATCAAGAATCGCGAAGCCAAAATCTCCGTGTAATTTTCATTAAAAATAATATCGTTCTTAAATCTTTCAGCGGGAGGGTAGCGAAGGAAGATGTTTCTCAATGCATTCAGGTAATCTTCTTTTTTGCTCATGTTGTATCTATAAAAATAAATGGAAGCTCTGTTATCTTCTTGAAATTTTTTGTAATATCTCAACCAAGATTCCGTCAGATCTTTGTTAGCGATGTGTGTAGACTTTTCGAGCTTTTCTAGAACTTCTTCCACTTCTTTTCTAACAAGAGGATCAGCGTAGTTCATGGTCGTGGGTATGACTACTTGTATTCTATCACGATACTGTGTGAAATCGTGAAAGAAATTATAGAGAAACGAAGATGCGTAAGACTTGTAAGGTGGAAACTCATTCAATTCGGTTCCTTCTTTTAAATGGAAACATCCCCAAATGGCAAATGATAAATATCCAACGTAAGTGAGAAGTATTAATGCGCGAAACCAAAGCAATGTTAAATAATAGCTGAGAACATCTCGGAAGAAGGTCATTATTTTATCATTTTGATAATCATTTTCGTCAGAAGTGCAGCATAAAAGCCTTTGAACGATGCTATCCTTATCTGAAGTAGTAAAAAAAATAATTAATATTATAAATATGTTTTTATGATTAAAATATGATAGAAAATATGAGTTAATTACTAAATGTCTAATCAAAAACAGTCTAAACAAATTGCTTAATAGTTTGGGAAGTGCTCAAGTGCTTAAATAAATAAACTTGCATATCTTAAATATAATTAATTTAATACCTTATGATAACAATTAAGAGTAAATTATTAAAAGGATATCACGCTTTAAAATGATCTTTTCAATGGTGTAAAATAGATGTAGGGAAGGCAAATCTTATACATCTTATACATTATGTGTGAGAGAACATAAATATATACATTCAACATACTTTACATGTTGAATAACATATTTATATTTTATCTAAAAGTGGTATTGATAATATATCTTAGTACTGATGCAAGACCGTATCTATCCCGAAAAAACGAAATAATTAAATAAAAATTCATTGACGTAATTATTTATTTCTTAGCTTTCCTCCCCTGAAAAATTTTCTGCGCGTGCCCGTGCCTAGTCTCTAATTATCGAGTAGCAATATATGTGGCCGAGAGTGTTACGTGAGACCTTTTACTCTACGAATTCGTCTTGCTAATCACATACCTACAGATTAAAATTCGTAATAGGAATTTACTTAAATAACAATATTCGTAATTATAAAAATTTTGGAGTTTTCACAATTCGTTCTTTACATACTACAGAAATACAATATCACACAATGGAGCCGACTTTTTTAGTTCTACCTGGATTAAATATGTAATATTGCTATAAAATCTCACTGGCATCGTACAGTTTAATATATATATATAGGTCTATGTATATATAAATTACTCGATAATTTAAAATATTCGTAATTAAAAAATATCTCATATTGTACTTGTTTAATCCAAATAAACTATTCGCTAAGACAAGAGCAGACGTTTAGGGATGAATACGTGATTACATTGACCAATATTATGATAATTTTCTACAGTAAAAGACAACTGAAATACTTACTTGGCGGTCTTAAGCGAACACAAAAGAGAGAATGGAAATTTCTCTCTTCGGCGATTCCAGAAATTGCGAGAGTAGCACTAAAAAACGTCACCTGGTATATATAAGTGAAGAGAATTCCGGCCGCTGCGAAACTACAAAAAATCTTTACAGACGGAAATGGCGTCATAAATCCAAGCGTAAACGATAAGAAATTCGTAAGTGAAGTAATTGTGATGGACACTGCAACGTCCGATAGAGTAATTGCCAACCGTTCCTCCGTTTTCTTATTAGGATTTGTTCTCTTCCAGGCTGCCAGCACTACAAAAGTATCATCTAAACCGATACCTAGAATATACAAAAAGTTTCCTTATAAGTCAAATTAGTTAATTAATATATAAATACCCGCTTAAAGATTAAACTTACCAAGCAGCAAGAACGGTATAGCCATGGCTAAATCTATAAAAGGGATACCAATATAGAAAGTCACGCCAACGGAACTGAAAATGGCCAACCCCACAGATATTACACTGGCTACTCCTAACCACGGTTTACTCCTCAACCAGTCGTTAGTTAACGTTGTAAGTATGCAAAATATCAGCATGACGAATAATAGAATGACGTAATACGGAATGACTTCGATCATCATGCTGTTTATTTCTCTTTCGACGGAGGAAGAAACGAAATAGTAAAAGGTGACTTCGGGAAATTTCCTATTGGATATACTTTGCAGAAATGCAGTTTCCCAATCAGTGGCTTTCTTTAAATTTTCTTCACCGTTGTCGTTCAAGTAGTACATTAATCTGCAAAGCTTAGCCGATACGGCAAATCCTAAATCGTCGACCTTAACACCTGCCAGATTGCCAGCAAAGAATTTGAAGGTGTAAGTGTCCTCGTTAAACGCTATAGGAAATTTCACAAAGGATCGTCTCTTTTCTATGTCTTTTATCCTTTTCATCAAAGAAAATACCTCATTTCCGTAGCATTTCCCATTATTTTTAGCGCATAGATCTTTGTAGAACAACTTTTCACCTTTCCAGTCGATGCTTACGTTGTTTACCACGTTATCAATGGTTTTTAACGAATTCAATATGGATTCTCTCAATACCGATCCTCCATCTTTAGGATAAACCAAGATCCATGCGAATTTCCCTAAATTCGTCAGCCTTCCAGGATCGAAATCGTTGGATTTATTCAAGGGGAATATTTTGTCGATAATTTCTCTATCCTCAAAGGCTCGACTGTTTGTTGGATTATATAAATAATCCGCATCCTGTTCGTAGGTAAACTTCAAAAATCCTGTCATTAATATCAAACTTAAGAAGAATGGTACGATCAGGAAGGGAAGAGGATGTCTTCCTATGATAAATCCCAAGCTTCGAAATTTACTTTTTAAGATGCTTCCAATCGAGATGCATCCCATTTTTGTAATCTAAAATTTTAAAAATGCTTATTAAAAGCGATTAATTTACCTTAAATAATTAAATGAGATCAAACGCGACTGAATGTAATTAAATATGTCGTAGACATTGGAATAATGGCCATGTTATTGACCCTATTTTCTGACCAATCAATTGTCACATTTCGCGACTCCAACACCAGTAACTGTATTATCACTATTTTATTTAATAAATTTAAGAAAAATCAAATTTCGTAACCTGAAACTATAATTTAAAAATTCTTATACCCCTATTTTGTGGCTTTGAAACATAATTAGAACCCTGCTGTATAACGAAATACATTAAAAGTCCTGTCGTGGATTGCAAAACAAATTAGAAGTAGAACGAAAAAAAAAACATTAGAAATAAATTAAATAAACTAATTTCAATTAAAATTGCTCTTAATTGTACATTAAATTCATCGATAATGTAATAAATCTCATTAAATTGGATTACTAAACACTAAGGTAATTGAAGCAAATGCTGAATATCGTGTATTATGCTCCGTTATAGGCGATTAAAACAATTGTAAATACAAAAAATTTGCTGAAATCTGCTATGGTTCACTTTCATGTGAGACAATACAACGTTTGTTTCTGGCAAATAAATAATTAATTGAAACAAGAATAAAGATAATTTTACGGAAAAAAATATAAATTTGAAAAATAATGTTTAACCTATTAACATATTTATTGATATGAAAAAGTTATTGAAATTGCGTGTCCAGATATCACCGGACATAGAAGAGATTTCAACATTTCTTAAACCAAAAAAATTCTTATAAATAATTCGTCATGTGATTCTTCTAGTAGCTTATCAAGTCTAGTAATTACCAAGTGGTACTCGAACATTCCTTCATAACATACATCATCTAAATTGAATGAGTACAGTCCACGAACCTTGAACCCCATTCATATTTGTTAATGGGGTGTAACTAATTTGAGTGATTGACAAATAATTTATTCCACTTCCAGGAAAATTGTCGTACATCTGACACCTTTCGTTTTTTAGCAGGAACTTTTCAATTGCAACTAGAATTTAGCAGATGTTTGGGATCGTGCATTCTGCAAAAATTGGAGCCAAAAAGTATATTTTTTTTAGTCATACCTAAAACTGTCAAACTGTCAACCTTGGAAATATCAATGCCAATGCCGACACTCATAATGGGCTTTATAATTTCGGTCCATAAAAGAAATAACCATCGCATTTCCTGGTAAATCTGGTGAAGCGCAAACTACGACCGACAACTACGTTTTGTCCAGCTTTATTGAAGCCACATAGTAAATAGTAACCACTGAGTCGTGGGTTCTAGTGTTTCCGGGTTTACTTCACGTGGTTTTCTAACCTAAATTATGATCAGTTTCCCTTGGTGTTTTCGGGGTGTCGCTTTGCCTTAAACCAAACAATACAAATACCAATACTAAGCAATACGTCATATGTGTCATTTCAAACAATATACACGAAATTTCATTGTAAGTTTAAGTAAAATCAATGTACAAACTATATTGTTGTAGCATCCATCAAATACAACAACTTCCAACATAGCATACAAATTGTAGGTGAGCAGACATCTTACCTGACTACTCGTTAATCTTGTGATAAATTTAAATTCACCCTCTATCTTTCATGCACTTGCCTTACTTGTATTCAAATTAGTTTTGTCAAAAATATGTCAATTGAATAAGATTGATGTACAGTCTTACTGTTAATTAATTAATTTAAGTAAACCTTATTCTAAAATTAATCGCGATTAACCTAGTTATTAGTAAGCGTTAATTGCAGTTAATTTAATCATAATTAATTTTTTATTAATGCGTTAAGTTCAGCGTTAGTCGTAATTTAATTCGAATTAAATTGTAAATTATTTTCAAATTAATTACATTTTAGTTTTAGTTTAACTATAATCAAATTTTCCATTAATAATATTAGAAAATTAAACAATATCTTAAAATTAGTTAAAATTAAGTTAAAGACTGATATTTAATTGGAATTAAGCCAAATTTCATTACAATTAATTAGTATACTGTATTCTTTCACATTTAATTTTAACATTAAATAAAGCTGATTAGAATTAATATTTTACCTTACAAATACACAAAAAATAAATTGGAATGTGGATCGAACTTTATTAAATTTTCCAGTTGATCAAGGCATCATTTTCCTGGTAAAGGAAGTGTATCAAGGTTGCAATTAACAACATTGAATCTTTCGAAACATATTCTTTTCAATGTCACTACCTTCGATATTAAGTTATAATTAAGCTCAAAGTAATTGTTACTCGTTATAATGCATAGGTGTTGCATCTTATTCATTATTCTGGAATATGATGATTTAATTTACGATATAAGTAATATTTCAACTCTATAAAGGCTAAATTTTCGTAAGAAATCATAAAATATACATTAATAATTACCTCATCTTATATTCTTTCCTCGTTATAGCGAATAAGATGAATTAGCATTAAAAAGTAGTATTAAATAAACTAATTTCTTGAGATTATTATTCTGTACAAGGATATTTATGACCTGAAAGACTCGAAAGCTTAGGAACTTATCTAAAAAAGTAATGAATATCTGAATTCTTAATGGGTTCAATCTGGTTCCAAGTCTTTGCGAGCCAGATTTTTTGTCGTAATTTCTCTTAAAATCCTTAGAGTAGAACGGAATATAATTATATTTTTATTGTAGTAATTATCTCCCCGCTCTGAAGATTCTGAAGAAACGTACTTACCGAAACAATAGAATATTGAAATGAATAGTCATTTATATAAGCTGAATGACAAGTTGACAGTTTTATTTCATTGTAACCGGTATAATAAATAATTATCCCCTTCCCATTCGTTATAAACAGTTAAACTAGTAAAAGTTGGGATTGACGTTATGAGGGAGGTGAAATTTCGAATTGTTACGTTTCGTTACGAAAGTTGAGACCACGAATAAGAGTTTCAACGTTCTTTAATGAATATTTAAAGTTTTAAACATTAAAGAGTGAAGATCGAGATTGTATTATCGTGTCGTAATTAGTGAAAAGAAGGATGTTAGTCATGAATACCAGGAAAATGAGATAGAGGAAGAGTAGAGAAGATGGAGAGACTGTGTAGAAGAGGGCAACACATCCATGAATAAAACGTGTTATCCAGGGATTCATATTATCCGGGAATACTTATGAACCATGGATAATACGCATCCGTGCAGAGACAGTATAAAATATTTTATATAAAAAAACACAAATTTAAAACTCATTATAACGTTACAAAATTAATTATATTTAGTTAACAATAATTAATTGCTCAAAATAGGAGAGTAAAGGTTCAACACATGATACATTTTGATAAATCTTACTTATTTACTTACTTTAAATATTAAGAAATTAATTAGTTAATTAATAAAAATTAAATTTATGCAGTAGGAGCAAGTTGCCATTATTAATTAATTAACTTCCCCCACTCAACACAACAAACAACACTTAAGATTTAATTATTAATGCATTTGACACAATTTTCACATAATTGTAATAAATGGAATTTACATTAATAAATAAAATATTTGTATAAAATTAATTAATTAAAGTGATTTTAATATAAATTGATTTTGATGGGCGATCTGCTCACGTGTTTCTTACCCCATCAAACCAAAGAAAAGGGCTTTTTATAGGAAATTGCTCCCTATTTAGATGTTAAAATTTCCTTAAATTATATTACTGAATTAAAGAATTATTATTATACTAGCAAGTAGGCCCGGCGTTGCTCGGGAAAAAGTAACGATAGCGAAGATTAAGTTTATTACGTCATAGTCAACCTTACCCGTTTTCACAGAATGCAAGAATTGGGTCCCCCTGTTACTAATTAGAGAATTTTTAGATGGGTCTAAAAATATGTTCGCTTTCCCGCAAAATGAAAAAAAAAACTGCATCTGCGCCTTGCACGCCGCTTTCTCTTAACAATTCCATTGTTACGTAACACTTCCATTGCTGACACTTCCACTGTTGACACTTCCATTGCTGACACTTCCACTGTTGACACGTCCATTGTTGACACTTCCACTGTTGACACGTCCATTGTTGACACTTCCACTGTTGACACGTCCATTGTTGACACTTCCATTGTTGACACGTCCATTGTTAACACTTCCATTGTTGATGGAAGTGTTAAGCCTTAATCCTGTCCCTCTCCCCTTGGATAGGAATTTCGAAAAATCCCTTCTTAGTGTGCGTTCTCGTGACGTACCCTAACTGTGTACCAAATTTCAACTTTCAACTCCTAACCGTTTGGGCTCTGCGCTTATTATTATTATGTTGGGTTTAGTGGGTTACACCGGTGGCTGTGTACTATGCTGGACCATAGTCAAGGCATAGCAACCAAAACAAAACTAAAATTAAATAAGTGTGTCAGTGTCAGTGTCTGTATTCAGGAATTTCTTATTATTACTATTATTATTATTATTATCATCATTAATTCGTGTCGATTATATATATAAATAAGATAACAATAGAATATAGATAAACATTTTTTATAAATAATTTTTATCAATAATAATGTAAAATAAATATTATTTTACGTCTACACGCTTTCGATATTTACAGCTTGAAATTTATATTACAGTGTACATGTTTTAAATGTCCTTTGATAACAGGTTACTGGATATATAACATTTATAATATATAAATAATTTAAGGAAGTAAATGAATAAAATTCATAAAAAAAAATAAATTATTATCGAAATACATATCATGAGACGAAGTGGATACAGGAAAATATTTTATATTCTGTTTACGAAATACATTAAATATATGCAGTAATTTATTCAATTAATTTTAAATACGTTTAAGATACGTTGCTTATGATGTAATTTTAGTCGTCCCTATAAACATTTGATGTAATATCAAAGGTGAAAGTTCATCACAGTGGCGTAGCGTGGATGTCAGCCGCCCGGGGCGGAAGAAAATTTCGTCGCCCTCTTATTTAGGGATTTCAATTTAAAAGACTAAAATTCAATTTCGTCATAAGTAATGAAAAATTCCGTGTTCATTTCAATCGGTTCGAATCGTAGGTGCGACAAAAATATAAAATGAAATGGTTCAAATTTTTACAAGATATTATTATTATTTATTGCGAAATTTTGCCGCCCCCTTTAATTATAAATTAAAAAAAATATATTTTAAATTTCTATTAAAACAGTTCTATATAGAAAATAGTACTCTTATAGGAAACTTTTACACGTTTACGGTTTCATTTCTCATTTAAAAATCTATATAAAAATTATAGAAATAAATATGCTTTAGACCAGATTATTATGTAAAAAAAAATCATATATGTGCATAGAATATGTTAATTAGTTTTAAGATTTAACCTAGCAATTAAGGTGAATTAGGTACAGTACTGTATACTTCACATAATGAACTGATATAGGTAGTATACTTAATCTAGGTAGTATACTAAATTAATTAAATTATAAAAATGGAATATCTTACGAATATTTTTCCATCAAAAAGAATAATTTTTGAAAAGAAAGAAATATCCATCCAGTAACAATAAATATGGAAGAATTCAGCAAAGATTCTAACAAATGATACTGTACAAGAATGTTTGCTTCTATTTATTTATTCGTTCCAGTAAGACGAATGATGTCTTTACATCATTTCACTTCCTGTGACGTCAGTTACTTTATTTTTAATTAAATACTGTTACATTAGTTTAATTTTATTTTAAAATTAAAATTTCAGACTTAATTAGAATTAAGTATTGAAGTATACAAGTGATAATATATATTACAATAGACGTGGGCTATATGCAGAGGTTAGGAGGCATTTTTATTTTTCCTTTTTCTTTTTTTATTCGTATGCCAATTCGATAAAGGAATGCTATTTGGAAGGGAAAATTTATTACAGTAGTCGTTATACTGAAGCAACTAGGGTCCACGCTCTAGGGGGTGGTCCAGGAATAGTTCATCTTTTATTTCGTGCATGTGCACTATACTATTAATATTTGGAAGATGCCACGTGCTAGAATGGAGTTTTCAATGGCATTTTACGCGTGTTCTTTATTTATAATTACGAAAATAGATAAGAAGATAAGTAAGATAAATATAAGTAGAAAAAAACATCTGTCTGAGTTAGGGATTGTAAATTGACAAAAAAACATTCGATAAACTTACCGGTAAAATCATAATGACTTATATTTTTTATCACCTTAATTTTATTTTTCAAGAAAAAAAAATTTTCCGGTAATTTAATTTTTCATTTACCGAATTACCGGTAAATGAAAAAGTCGGTAAATTTACAATCCCTAGTCTGAGTCTCTATACATGAATAAACTTACGAGTTATTGTTGTGTAATGTGTTATATAACCTATTGCCGATCACAGTTATTTCATTTGATAGTAATTACCATGCCACATTACAAGTGATTTCCATCTCCTTTGTTGTTAACCTCACGTGAAAAGCCAGGCCCAAAACTCGGTTAACCAAGAAATATTGTTAAGAGTTGTTAAACCGGTTTGAAACGTCCGCGTGTTATTATTCACGTCCTTAAGTAAACTAATTTTTGGACCCCCCTTTGTATATTCTACAAGCATGAAATATGTAAAATATATAATTAATTAACTCTGTTATAATTAATTGTAATTAGATATGAAAGTATAATATATTTGCTTGATTATTACTGTCAACATAAGCAATGTATAACTAAATCTATGAATAAGATTAACCTTTCCTAATGTACGTACAGGTCTACTTAAAATGAATTATTTATACCATAATTGTTAAATATTACATAAAATATATTTCATAAAAAGAAAATGAAATATATTAATAAATTTCCATCAACATGCTTGTTAACAATACACGAAATTTATGAGCAAGACAAATGATTGCGTGCTAAATATTTCAAACACAGCAATAAAAAGTAGCATTTGTATTCAAATTTTTCGTGTGTTAAACGTTTGATTGTCTATCAATAGGTTTTTCCAGAAAATATTACATCAGTAGAATTGATGGAAAGATATAAAGGATATTCACTAGTATATAACGAAATTACATGTAATATATTAAATGAAATATGAAGTAAATTTGGTGGTGGGTCCTCTGGTAGTTAGAACTGCTAAATGAGAAGAGCAACGTGAAGAAAAATTTCAAAAAGTCCTTATCAAAATACTTGCAATTTATTTACTTCATAGCGTATTCACTGTTAATTATAAGTCCTTCATACCTACACACATGACTATTCATTCATATCTATTGTTATCTGAAATCAGGGAATGATATTAAACAATATAATTACTATAAGTACTATGTGGGGAGATAGAAACAATTTATTTTGAATATAAAAGAATTACAAAAAATTTCCTGTGATCAATTGCTAGTGAATAATTTTCGCTGATGTTTTCTATAGAAAACGATGCAATTATTATATGTTAATTTAATGATTATAATTACGCATTGTTATAGTATTTAATGTTGTTTTCTTTTTATAATTTTAATTATGTAAAGTTGAGTAAGATGGAAGACAAATAATGATAAGTAAAAGAGAATTAAGGATAAGCAAGTGATAAGTAAGGAGTAAGTATTAATGCATCAAGGAATATTGAGTAATTACAAGACACATAACTAATGAAACTTATCCCGCACTTATATATTATTTTTAATGTATTACTCGCAGTATAAGAATTACATCTTATACAGATACTGCGGGTTATACATTAAAAACAATATAAAATTCACTATTCAAGTATTCACTCTTATCTTCAGAAAAATTTATTTTTATGCAAAAGGAAAAATTGAATTACAATTAAAAATAATTATTTATATATTTTTGTTTTATTTTTTCCCTATTTTACTAAAAAAAATTGAAATTTTTTTTTATTTATCTAATATAAAAGGGGAAAAAATTATATTATTTTTCTATTCATTTCTATATCACTGTAATTAAATATTCAATGCAAAATCATCTAAAATACATTCAGCCAAACTTTATTTATTATTATTTTTTTTAAAATAAATAATTATACAATACTTTTATCAATAAAGATAATGCTGTAATTAATTATTTATTCATTCGGTTAGTGTCGATTTAAACACAACTTACACGAGCTGTCGCATTTAATAACAATATCGCCATATTTAGTCCTTCATAATCTACAGAATTTTTAATTTATACTTTAAAATTATTACTCGTTTACAGATTTCATTGAAAAGAAGCTTACCAGCCGGTTTTTTTTTTCAATATAAAACACCATAATATCTTAATATTCAATGTAAACAATAACAATTGGACTAAATATGGTGGATCAGCAGCTTAATGGAAACAGTATTGTACTGTACATATATAAGGTTTCTTAGTTTAATATAACAAATATTTGGAATAAAGCAATTTCAATTGATTTTCCTGAACTATTTATATAATTTCCGAAGATCTTGGTCATGCTCTACATCTCAATTATTATTTATAGGACTTCTGAAAGATAGGATATTTCCGAGTTAATACGTTATTCATTTATGAAAAAAATATGATTCAAAATATTTTTGGCTTACAATAGATGTAAAAATGGATTTGTTTACAGGTCTTTATCTCATTTTCCTTCAAATTATTTAAATATTTTGTTGAATTTTTATGCAATTTATTAAGAAAGAAACCCAAAATCACTAACGTTTTCATCACACGAAATTTTCAATTTTAGATGTATGGTGAGCCATTTCGTTTCTTTAAGTCTCTTTTAAATACGTTTTCTCTAAGAAATAAACCGAAAAATATTTGAAAATTATAATTTTTTCGACTGTTATGAGGTAAAAAATGAAAATTTCACGAGAAATATCGAAAATTTATGCAGATATATTCAATAATAAAGCATCTATGCTAAACTTTCTCTAGAAATTAGCATTTATATATAAATACATCTTTATAAATTTATTAAAATACAAATTAAATTTCTACGAATGAATTTTGAAGAAATTAAAAAGGAATTTCTTCAGAAATTCCCTGTAAATTTTTTACGAAATAGCAAGTATAGAAGGGAGCAATTTCGTTGAAATAGCTCTCTTATACGCCTGCTCCTCATAATAATAATAATAATGATAATCCTCCATTTATAAAGATTATGATAAATTTCGCAATTTTAACCCAAAAATCATTGTAGGAACCATTTCAATTTATATACTAAACATAGGTAAGAGCATCGTTCCTGGGAGTAAACCAAGACTTCTCATTTCATAATTCTTTGTTTTTTTTTCAAAATTTAATTAAAAGTATTTAATTTTAACCTTAAATTTATAAACTTTACCTTAGAACTTTTCAAAAAATAACTGGTAAAAAAATGACTTACAGTTGTTTACATATTAAGAATAAGAATTAAAAAGTCAAGGTCGTGTATCCGGTTTGATCGATTTTGCCGAACTCTCTCCTGGCTTGTCATTTTATATTTCGAATTTCGTAATTTTAGGTTAGAATTAGAACATTTTAATGCAAAATGAATTCATCTTTAACACGCTTTCTTCTAATCAAGCTTAATAAGAATCTCTATACTCATCTTTAACTTATAATTAGGTTGTGTTCTTCTTAAGAAGTTTCAACTCTACAGGATCATCGATACTCGATTATTTCATGCAATATTGAAGTTTTAAAAGTTCTTATTGGCTAAAGTTGTCATTCAAGGTCACCCTATCGTCTCCTTGACCCCGTTACTTTTCTTTATTCACTAACAATAATGAGAGGGAAATCATTCAAACGAAACAAAGATGTGAGAATATATCAACAGTCGATGAAAAATTACACTGCGTATAGTGTAAGGTGCATTGTGGTCAGGTAGTTATAAATCTAATTTAAGTTGTCATTCATGTCATCTGGATATAAATTATAACTCTAACAATGACCTTTTTATGAAGGACTATTGAGTAACCATTACAGAAAACTTATTAGCCATTGATAAGTAAACCTTATATCCCTGTTTAACCGATTTAATAAACTAGTTGCAGACACATTCTTTTAATAAATAATATAACAATTGACATATTCTTTCAACAAATCTACAGTTTATTCTTTTATTACTTATGAGTTTACCTAGCAAATTTATGATTATGCCCAATAGTTTAAAACACAATTCCCTCCAGGAATGAAATTTCCGATCACCAATTTAAGTATTATTCATATTATAATACAATAGGAGAATATTTTATCAGATAATATATTAAGTTAATTAATTAATTCTTACCTTAAAACACGATTATAAGTGAAAATATTGCATTTAACTTCGTAAAGATACCTGCAAAGTGGCGAGAGATTCTGCCCATTGGGTGCAGTGTACAATACTTCTTTAAATGAAATACCCCTCGACAATTGTTCCCTCTGACGAGTACTCTCGGTACTAGAAAGTTGTATAGTCAAGGAAGGTAAGGTCAGTTATTAACTTACGAAATCGTATGGAGAAAAAAAATTTTAATGGTTTAAGATGAAATTATTCTGATAATAATGGGTGTTTTGGGTAAAATATTTATTTAATGATTCTCTCGTTAATAATACTTTGTCCTCTATACAAAGCAAAATACGATTTACAAATGGTGCAAATTACGTAATAAGTATACAATTTGTGGATTATGCTAATGAATATAAAAACCGGTACAATTTAAATCACCAGACATACAAAATGTATTAAACGTTACGCAAAGACGTTTAAGAGTCATAAAGTTGATTAAAATATAAGTTGATTAAAATGTTAATTAATGATAGTTTTTAATAATTATTTTAATTGACATGTGAAGGTGACAAATGTTAAGTTTCCTTCAGAATAATTTCTTTGAAAATTAATTACATTAGGACCTTAGTTATATAAAATTACTGTCAGGAGTTTGTAAAGTTGGAGGCTGCGTCAAGGTAATTTTAGGTTATAACTGCATGAAGGTTAGTTTCGTTAGAAATTTTTTCTTTTAAATAATAGCCACAAAATATTAATTTTAGTTTATTATGTTGAAAAAAAAAATTGATAATGTAACGAGTGCGACAAATTTAAATTTTTACCTGCAATTACTTGTTAACATTTCCTATTTATCCAATAAAATTTCGATAGATATTGGCATTCTTCCCGACAAACTTTGTGAATAATTCACATTTTTTCAGCTAAATTCAGTAGAAATTAGGATTGTTCGGAGAAAGATTCGTTAATAATCGACAGTTTTAGCAAAATTCGACAGAAATTGGCAATTTTTTCAGCATAATTCTTTAAAAACATTAACTTAATAATTTAAGATACGTTGTTCTATTCAGCTTCAATGTATAAATAACATGACTTCTTATTTGTATCGGTAGTTCGTATATAGTCAATCGGATCGTCCTGCCCCTAAGGTTTCCATATTTGGTCTTAGTTTTTATCTATCAAATTCCATTCCCGAGAATAAGGAAGGACATACGGACGGACGGACGGACTAACGACAGTGGGAATTTATAGGTCTACAGTCGAACAACAGGATATTCAATCGTGAATTCTACCGAATGGATAGAAATAGTCGAAATAAAGTCTAAAATATTGAATTTATGCACCTTCTATTATAAATTTTAAATAGTAAACGGGCACGTGTAGTCCATTATACATCAAAGTTAATGTTGAATGTTACAGAAACTGAGTATGAATTAAGAAGGAAATTTTTAAAAATATTTTTTCAAATGAGGAAGAATTATTTTGCAATTTGGCACGAGATTTTCATATAAATAACCCAAACAAATGGAGATATTCTTTTCACTTTCGCTGGTGGAAAAAATGAGATTTAATAACGTAATTAATCTCTTCGTTACGTGTGTGTTTACGTATTACGCGTAATCCAATGGACTGGCCCAATAAACAGTTAACCGTTTTAAAATAAGTCGACCAAAAAAAACCTTCAATTTGCCTTGTTCGGTAAACGTTGCTTCAAAATAAGTAAATATTCTTGGTTAACTGAATTTTGGGCCACCCCTTTAAATAATACGAAAGAAACATAGTAATTTTTGTGAATTTTTCCACAGATTAGTATGAAGAAGGATAGTATAACTGCCCAAGTTTTCGAGCTCTATCCTTTAAAATCGTTAAAACGGGGTAAGTCTACCTTATACGTTGTTTAATTTATTTAATTTTATATAATTTATTACTTTCATAAATAAATAAATAAATAAAATATTCATCTACTATCCTCTTCTTAACGAAACTCGATATAAAGATTTATAAAAATTAGAATAAATATATTTCTACGCTTCGTATCCACATACCTACCTGTACAGAATTCCACGTCAATAGTCTCGTGCTTATTTACGTCATGAATAATTAAGCGATAAGTCGGAATGACGAAATTAGCAATGTCACCAACTAATGTTATTTTTTCGTGTCCGTTAATGCACTTGAACTAATGGTAACTTTGAAATAATTTCGCAAATTTCTATTGAAAAGGGTCAGTTCGAGTTGAAGGAAAATGTATTTTAGACTGTTATAAGTTGAACGTTCGAATGAAGGTTAAAGAAATTTTTTCACTTCGCTTTAACTATATTAAACGTGATAAATTTCTATGGCAATTTTAATAAATTTAAAACCACATTTTAAGCTCTAATAATTTAAATGCCCGCCCTTTTCGAGTTGAACTACCCGCAAAACTCGTATCGTAGTATCGGAGTAACCATTTGTACGTAGTAATGGTTCCCTCGAAAGAACTTTTCATTTAAAAAAGGTTTCATTATGGTTCCCTTATTATAGTTTTTATGATAAGGGATCCTCGCGTTTTCAATGGATCACTTTATCAGAGCTCTTATTACAGATTCCTTGTAAGCATGGTGTCTTCAAGTAACGCTTTCATTGTTCAATTAATTAAAATAGAAATAAGTTTTATAATTTAAAATCACGATTGTTTAGAGAAGGAAAAAACACAAAAAAACCACAAAATGCTTATTATTATTAACGTAATACTGGCAGAAATTCAAGTATTCCAGCTGGTGCCTATCCAATATCATAATGAGGATTTTCAATTACAAGGTTAGTTTTTACCCTCCAACCTATATTTTGATATTAAATTTTCCTGTTTGTGAGTGGGAAATTTATTATTTAATTAGTTTTATTACAAATATTTATACACATAAACACATAAATAGTAAATTTTCTAGCAGATTTTTCGATAAAATAATTATTTTGTACGCATTAAAAGAGAAAAAGTTATAGAAAAAAATGGCCGCTGTTTAGAGGTGGTCGTTATTGGGAAGTTCGACTGTAATTAATTATATGAATTTTTATTAATATGTAAGTAAATTTGATAAAGATGTTTTATACATTATTTAAAGGTATTTTATTTTTAAAACAAAAAGAATTATTAAATTATAAAAATCGAATAAAAACACGCGCTAAAAAGTTTATATTTTATACATGTTAGGTTATACAATTTTTTTATTACTAATTTTTATAATATAAACTCAAGTAATGAAGTATAAATGATACACTGTCTAACTGGAACAATGAAAATTTTACAGTTACACAGTGTAAATCGTAATTGTAAGTAGCTAAATATGTTTTGCTCAATTTATAAGAAGCTTAAAGTACTAAATTCTAAACAAACCTCACTTTCACAATACGTAGTTTTAATTAAATTAAAAAAGTAAACACAACTTGTACATAATATTCGAATTTAATGATTGATACTTACCATTTTTTTTTTACTTTAATGTTGTTCTGATACTCTCATTCAACAATTCCCTGCTCCAACTCTATCATTAAAATTAAATAATTAATTATTATTAATTTAGTAAGAATAATAAACAAAATTTAATTAAGTTTACGTTAATTACTAAACAAGAACTGTACAGGAATATATACTGACTTCGCTTCTAGATACAGCTATTTACTGAATGTTAACCCATAAATATATAAAGTTTTCGTAATGTTATTGATAGATTCCGTTATTTTCTTATATTTTACACGGCAATAGCAAGAAAATGGTAACATATAGATGCATACAGTTTACTGAATTCCTATATAGTCATTTACCATGTGAATTATTTCCAGGAAAACAGTGAGAAGTGCGGGCATTATATGCAGACTAGACAACTAATTGTCGCTAAAACAACTAAAATGGTAAATAAGTTGTGTAAATAACATAAAAAATATCAAATTCTTTGTTTATTTTAATCATAAACTTGCTTTTTACAGTTGCAAAAATAAAGTCTATTTTCAATAATTAGTATTTATAATTAGTTAGGTGTCCATGTTTATTTATTAATTGAAATACTTTAGAGGAAAAGTGTAGCGATCGGTCGAAAAATGACACCCTCCCCCAAATTTCTATATTTTCGGACTCAGGGGATCATGAAACGTCGAGAAATGCAAAAATAATTCGCGGGTAATATCTGTATGTATAGATGTTTCTGTGTGGGGGTCACGATTTTGTTTACCCTGTTATAAGCTTAATAACTCCTGTGATTTTTGTCAAAAATTTCTGAAAATTTGCAGGGAAGTTTGTGTATTAGGGTGATTAATTTTGTTACATTTTGGTGATTAAAGAGCGAAGGAATGGGGAGATAATGGTGGTGGAGTGTATCTTCAGTAGGGTCGGATTAATGACGATTTTACTCGTTATTAGCATTTATAATTTTTTATAAAACTCATTTCTACCTTAAAGTTAAGATTATTATCATTTTATAATAATAATTAAAAATATAAAAACTTTTTAAAATAAGATAACATAACAGATGACGCCACACGCAGTTTTAAATGTTGCCGGTAAAGTTAAGCAACTCTTGCTGGAATTTTTTTATTTTCAAAGTGTCTTGTAAATTTTACCTTTTACAATCTGATAAATTAATAAATATAAACAGATCCACTAATCAATAAGTCTTTGTTTTTAATATTGAAAATAATCTGGTATGCATTTTGCAAAGATATTTACATCATGAATTTTACGATGCTGATATATTTATGTTTACCACTGTACAATTCATAGTAATTTTTAGCTAATATCTATCCAGTTATATAACTTTATTAAAAATCAAGGCTTAAAAACACAGTTAATGATTATTTTATGAGTTTCTAACGTGTTAAAGAGTTATGTTTCGATTTACTAAACAGTTAAATCCTTGACCACTTCGTTTAACGATCCCAAAAATGGCCAAGGGTATAACAACTTTGTAGACCATCCCAAATATCAAGAAAGATAAGATACGTCACGCGTATCTCGTTTTATTAAATCCGTAAATAAAAAATTCTGTATCTAAGGATAGGGATTAAAGCCAAAAGAAGTTTAGTGGTACGTCCGTATGTCTGTAATTAATCTGATTTA